GAGTAAATCATTGGACTGAAGATCTTTCTCTCTTCTCTCCTCCTCTCTGTATATCTGCCTTTCCAATGAACATAAACAAATCACAAAAAACTCCCCACAATTTATTTATGTTCATTGGAAAGGCAGACATAGAGAGGAGGAGAGAAGAGAGAAAGATCTTCCATCCGACGGTTCAATCCCCAAGTAGCTGATACAAACCAGTGCCCATACGGGATTTTGGTGTGTACAAGGCAAGAATTTTAGTCACTAGACTGCCATGCCAGGCCCAATAAATAAATTTTACACAAAACAAAACTAAGTGTAAGAATAGGAGGCCACTGAGCATAGGCCAAGGAGGCTAGTAGACCAGATGGTCAGAGGAAATGTCCAGCTCCCAAGTCAGGACTGTGACCACTGGGTTTGCTTGTGCTTGGTCCTGCTACTCTGGCAAATTTGCTGAGCCCTCCCACCACCACCCGCTCTGCCCGCCGCCCCCCTGAGGTGTCAGCTATCTTTTCAGGAAATATTTTGGTTTTCCTTAAGTTTGATTTCCTTTCTCAATCCAATAAGCTGCACTGACTTCCACAAAGCTTTAAGACAAATCAGCCTGAAATTCACTTATCTGTCAGTTCACATACTTTTTTTTTTTTTTTAATTATTGGGAACCAACTATGTAACAAGTATTATGCTAGGCTCTGAATATACAGGGGATGTTTCAAGATAGATGAAGCCCCGTTAGGACCCAGTGCAGCAGCCTAGTGGCTAAATACTCACTTTGCAACTGCTGGGATCACATAGGGTGCCAGTTCATTTCCTGGCTGCTCCACTTCCCTTCCAGCTTGTGGCCTGGGAAAGCAGTCGAGGACGGCCCAAAGCCTTGGGACCCTGCACCCATGTGGGAGACCTGGAAGAGGCTTCTGGTTTCAGATCCAGCCATTGTGGTCACTTGGGGAGTGAACCAGATGGTAGAAGGATCTTTCTGTCTCTCCTTCTCTCTGCAAATCTGCCTTTCCAATAAAAAAAATTAATTTTTAGGAAAAATAAAGATTTGAATTTTATCCTAAGAGGAAGGAGAAGACATTGAAGGATTTATTGTATTTTTAAATCAAAATGACATGTATGTACACCTTAATTTTTAAAAATGAAGCACTGCCTTGCAAGCACACTTACAGCTTAACTGTGCGAAACAAAAGCGAGTGCCCTCTTGGAGGGCAAGCCCGTGGACTGCATGACTTTGACTTGCTCAAGGTCTAATGCAGTGGTTCTTGGCACTCGCCACGTGCCAGAATCACGAGGTGGTGGGGTAGGGCTAAGGAGGAGGCGGGGTGGGGTACAGGTGGTTGTTACAGGAGACTCTGCTGGACCTCAACTCTGCCAAGTCGCTCCTCCCACAGAGCAGGGTGTGTGTGCTGAGCAGGGGCAGGACACAAATCCCTGGGAGGTGGGGGGGGGGGGGCGGGGACAGGAAGGGACCGGAGAGGGAGCAGTGAGTGTGGGAAGCCGCCTTCAGCCAGTTCCTGCGAGGGAAGAGGCTGCATCCAGCAGATCCCAGAGGCGATCTACAGAGGTGCAGCTGGCAACAGAAATTACCCCAGTTGTACCCTCTATTAAATGCCTTGTTCCCAGGTGCTTCGCACATATAACATACAAATAAAAAGTCAAACAGTAATTTCTCCTAAAGGCATCAGCTTAACAATTACAAAAAACCGAGACAGCACTTTACAGAGCAGTACTCCTCAGTTATGACACCTGCAGTAAACAGGACCCCCAGGTACCGGCAGTCCCCAGGGATGGCCAGCACACATGAAGGCAGAGTGCCACGGGGAGACAGGCTGCCAGAAATTTGCTATGCCATCTTTAACCCTTTTTAGAAATAAAAAACACCCCAACTCTGCTGTAGGATTCGACCTCCTCTTCTTCCCCTTCAGACGTGGCATGGCTGCTGCAGCCAGGGCGTGGGCTGCTGCCTGCTCCCTGCATTCCCTGGGACTCATGGCTGCCTCTCAGCACCCAGTTCCAATCTTGTTAGATTCGCTCACCTCCCTCCCAGCTTTTACACCAGCTCCTCTCGCAGCTCCAGAGGCCAGCCCACCACTAGTCCTCTCCTGGACTGCAAAGCCACTTTTCAGGAATTTGCAGAATCCAGGTGGGAGACATCAGTTTGAGAAGGGGGCTTATCAGAATAATAGGAACCTAACAAAAACTGAAGCAAGAACAATGAGCAAGGAAGCGATTAATCCTGTTCATGCCCTAACTGAAAAGGACCAAACATTGTCTTCTTTAAAGATTTAATTTATTTTTATTAGAAAATCAGATATACAGAGAGGAGGAGAGATAGGAAGATCTTTCATCCACTGGCTCACTCCTCAAGATCTAGTGCAGTGGCTCTTAGCACGCTCTGCTGGACAGGCCCTTAGCCGGCTGGGCCCAGATCAGCACGCAACAGTAGAGCTTGTAAGGAAAAACTTAAATATTTTTAAAAAGATTTATCTAAGTTTATTGTAAATTCAGATATACAGAGAGGAGAAGAGACAGAGAGGAAGACCTTCCTTCTGCTGATTCACTTCCCAAATGGCTGCAACGGCCAGAGCTGATCTGATCTGAAGCCAGGAGCCAGTTCCAGGTCTCCCACGTGTGTGCAGGATCCCAAGGCTTGGGCTGTCTCTGACTGCATTCCCAGCCCACAAGCAGGGCCACTGGAATTAGCACTGGCACCCATATGGGATTCCGAAGCAATATAATACCACGCCACGCCTGAAAATTTTAAATTTTAAATGTCATTTTTAACATCTAAATGAGTAGAAACAGAAGATGAAATGGCTGTGCTGGCGATATCCTAAGACAAAGCGGTATCAAAGCCGCGACTACCAAGATGTGACAGTGGTCAGTCAAAGCCAGGTCGTACCAGTTATGAAGAAAGGTCCCGACAGCTGTTTTCTGAGACTACAAAGTGGACACACAGCCAGCAAGGCCACTCCTACAGCACTAGTACACCACAGTGGCGTACCTGCCTCCTCCTTGCACCAAACACACACAGCTTGGCTAGTCTTCATTTGGTTCCTTCTGACTTTTAAGCGTTCCTAAACTTAAAAAGACTTTTTCTTCTGGCAAAAAACATAAAATTCCTGGTATGCTCTCAGTTCTTTTTTTTAAGATTTATTTATTCCCACTGGAAAGGCAGACATACAGAGAGAAGCAGAGACAGAGAGGAAGATGTTTCGTCTGATGATTCACTCCCCAAGTGAGCGCAATGGCTGGTGCTGTGCCGATTTGAAGCCAGGAGCCAAGAACCTCTTCCGGGTCTCCCACGTGGGTACAGGGTCCCAAGGCTTTGGGCCGTCCTTGATTGCTTTCCCAGGCCACAAGCAGAGAGCTGAATGGGAAGTAGAGCTGCTGGGATTAGAACTGGTGCCCATATGGGATCCCGGGTGTTCTAGGTGAAGACTTTAGCCTCTAGGCCACTGCGCCAGGCCCATGCTCTCAGTTCTTTAGCAACTATGTACAGGACTGCTATTATCCCTGGCAATAGTTCCTTGATGTTGATAGAGCTTATATTGCAAAATAAAGCTTATGTATTTTTAAAATATACTGCAAATTTACCACCACAAATCAAGTCAGTCATGGCAGGCTGGCTCCTTCAGCGGGAGAGCTACTGAGCTGACACTCAGGATATTATGGTTCCTTGTGCTGGCTCAGGCACAGGCTTAGAAGGTGGTTTTGGGTCAGTCACTTCTACTTGATGCAGTCAGCATATATGATTCAACAGGATGCAGTGAGATGGCTTTTGTGGTCTCTCCACAAGCTCTCCAATGCTGACTGTGAGACCTCAAGAAGGAGCATTATCACACAGCCATGTGCACAAGGGCAAACATTCCTTTTGACCGACTAGAATTCAAAGTAAACCCTTGCAGGCGTGTCAATAACAATCCGGACCTCCTAAAAACAACACAGATGAAGCAGCAACAGGGCAGCTGCGCACAAAGGCAAGGGGGAAGAACCGAGCCCCTCCGCCTCCTGAGCATCAGCCCTAGACTTGCTGCCTTCAACAGCTGGCCCAGTAAACACGAGAACCCCCAACCCTGGCTACATGGCCACACATACCACAACGTGTGTGGAAATTCTTCCTAGCACTTTCCAAATGACAAAACAGATGATACACGTATTAGGATTTTTTTTTTTTAAAAAACTTGAAAGGCAGATTTTTTTTTTTTTTGGAAAGGCAGATTTTTACAGAAAAAGAAGGAAAGGCAGAGAGAGACACACAGAGAGAGAGAGGTCATCCACCCTGTGGTTCACTCCCCAGACAGCTGCAATTGAGCCAATACGAAGCTAGAGCTTCTTTCTGGGTCTCCCACATGGATGCAGGAGCACAGGGACCTAAGCCATCCTCATTGCCATCGTAGGAGGTAAGCAGGAAGCAGAATTGGAAGTGGAGCAGCCAGGACATGAACTGGCATTCTTGTCGGGGTGCCAATGCTGCAGGCTGAGGATTAATCTGTTATGCCACCACACCAGCCCCCCCCCCCGAAAATACTTTCTATTATTTTAAAAAATATTTATTTAATTGGAAAGGCAGATACACAGAGATGGAGATAGAGACAGAAAAGGATCTTCCATCTACTGGTTCACTCCCAAAGCCGTTCACTCTGCAATGGCTGGAGTTGAGCTGGCCCAAAGCCAGGAGCTTCATTGTAGTCTCCTTTGCAGATTCAGGGTCCCAAGGTCTTGGGCCATTCCTGATTGCTTTCCCAGGCCACAAGCAGGAAGCTGGATGGGAAGTGGGGCCTCCAGGATTAGACCTGTTGCCCACAGGGATCCCAGCATGTGCAAGGTGAGGACTTTAGCCACCAGGCTTGTGCTGGGCCCTGTTTATATATTTTCTATAGCTGCTCTTGCACTGTGAGAATTGAGTGGTTGCAAAAGTTTTAAATATTCAATCTGGTTCATTAATGTTTCCTATTTGTAAATTCAACTATAACATATATTCTCATATAATTTTATAACAGAATATGGTTTTAGAATTATAATTCTACAATAGATACACTACTTACATAATTCTTCAGCAAAATCTCTCAAGGCTGATTACTTACATGTAAAGCATGAATAGAAAAGTGCTGAAAGAGACCAATGATCTTCTCATGCAATTATCCCATTTCAATATATGAGAGTAGTACTGGCAATGCTGCCTTTGTGTACGCCTCTGACAGTCTGCATGCATGTCCCTAAGCAATGACAATCTCCACTTGTTTCCCTTTGGGCTTCTGCAACTGCCGACGCTAAAGGAAGAGAGAAGGAAGAGTTCAGCCTGGTGGGGAAGACGTCCCACGCCACGAGTCACAGCTCTGACACCCGACTGCAGCCTCCCAATAATGCAGGCCCTGGGGACAGTGCGGATGGCTCAGGTAGATAGGTTCCTGCACCGACACGGGGCACCTGAGTTGGCAGTAGCTGAGTTTGGCCTTGGCCCTGCCCTGGAAGTTATGGGAATTTGGGAAGTTGACTACACTCTTTGTGTCTTTGCCTCTCAGATTAAAATAAATAAATAATACACACACACACATACATACAGATTAAAACAAACACACACATATTTATTTGGAAAAACTTTTGATTATAATTTATAAAATTATAAATTTATTTTTACAGTTATGAATTATTTATAACTATAAGGAAGATATTTAATTGGAATATATATTTATTTAACTGTATATATATATTCCCCTCAATTAAACCTATGGAGCAAAGTCCATAGAGCAAATCCTGTTACTGGACAACACAGCTGGGACAGACCCAGAATGGCATTGTGAGGCTGCGAAATGTTTCCTAATGATTTTAAAATCTCCCTTTCTTGTCAAGTGTCCATACTGTCTGAACCTAAAATAATCGAGCCTGACAAGTCTGAGTGTGTCATGGGAGCAAGAGGCAAGGGAACAGTTTTGGAAACTGGTATCCATGGACTAAATTCGAAATATGAAAACTGGATGCTCACAGGCCGGAGATCTCCCCAGTGCTCAGCGCCAGGCAGGCTGAAGACCTACGCTCCATGGAGGAGGACTGCTGAAGCAGATAAAAAGACAACAAGCACTTGCAACCTTAGGGGCTTAACAAAGTGGACTGCTGGACTGGGATTCAAAGGACTGGAAAGGTCACGCTTCCTGTGGGGAACATCCTCACACTGCGAAGGATAAATTTAGCATCTTGGAGTGTGGTCATGTCTCAGAAAGCACGTAACCCCAACCCACCCTTCTGAAAACAGACTGCTGGAAATTAAAGTCTGATGTCAAATAAACATGTTAATGAGATCTAGGCCTTGTGTCTTTTAAAATATGTATCCATAACTTCAGGCCTCTGTATCTGTAGGCTTCACATCTGCAGGTTCAACTTTCCATGTGTCAAAAATACCTTGGGGGAAAAAAGTTCCAGAAAGTTCCAAAAACCAACTTTGTGAATTTGCTGCACGCCAAGCACCCATACTGATCTGTATAGATGAAGTGATGTGTAGCCAAACCCTGCTACGGTTTCCAACTGTGTCATGGAAACTCCCTCTTTAAGCACTGAAAAGTAACCACTCCCCACAGCATTGACATCAGGTATTAGAAGTAACTAACACATGACTTAAAGTATACAGGAGGGTGTACCAGGTTATCTGCACATCCTCTGCAATTTTATATAAAGAACTTCCAACACCTTTGGATTTTTTTTTTAAATCTAGTTCTTATTTGAGGGGTAGTTACACACATACAGAAAGGGAGAGATCTTCCATTTGCTGGTGCACTCCTCAAATGGCTGCAAGAGTCAGGAGTTTCATCAGAGTCTCCCTAAGTGAGACACAGGGCCTCTGCTGCTGCTTTCCTAGGGACATGGAGCATGGAGCAGCCTGGACTTGAACAGGCACCCATTTGAGACACTGGTGCTGTAGTGCCAGCCCGAGACTCAGTACTAACTGGAAAGGGGGGAAAAGGTTTCCTGCAAGCAGTAGTTTTGAGTTGGGACACCTGTATTGCACACTGGAGTGATGGGGTTGTGATCCCAGTTGTGTTTCTGATTCAGTCTCCTGTTAATGTGTTCCCTGGGAAGCAACAAAGGATGAGTCAAGGACTCAGGTCCCTGTCATCCTGGTGGGAAACCTGGATTGAATTCCAGCTCCTGGTTTTGGTCTACCTGTGGTTTGTGAGGGCACCTGGACAGTGAACCAGCAGATGTGAGTTCTCTGCCTCTGTGTAGGCTCAAAAAAAAAAAAAAGGCTTATTTATTGGGGTTGGCACGTGGTGTATCATTAAGCCTCTGTCTAGTCCCTTTTAATGGCCTGGGAAAGCAGTGGAGAATCGCCCACATGGGAGACCTGGAAGAAGCTCTGTGGCCATTTGGGAGGTGAACCAGACAATGGACGAACATCTCCTCTCTAATTCTGTCTTCAAAATAAAAATATTTTTTAAGGGAGGATTTATTTATTTGAAAGGCAGGGTTAAAGGGCGAGCAAGTGAGTAGGTATGCAAGCACATTCTCCCATCTGTCTGCTAGTTCACTCCCTAATGACTGCAACGGCTAGGGATGGGTCAGGCTGAAGCCAGGAGTTTAATACAGGTCTCCTTCGTCAGTGCATGGGTGCAGCCCAGGTAATCTGACCCTCTTCCATGCTTTCCCAGGAGCATTAGCAGGGAGTGGATTGGAAGCGCAGCAGCAGGAACAGAACCTGTGCTCATATGAGATGCCAGGATCACAGGCAGTGGCTTACCCCACTATGGCATCATGGCAGTCCCCATGCCGACTTTTACCAGTATAATTCAGACAAACGGAAACCAAAGCTAACCTCAGCTGCATTCTGAGGGCCGATTAGGAAAGATTTAGGCTTTACTTGTCTGTGTTTTCCTTCTATTATTCATTATTCATTACCTTCGCTTAGGACAGATTTCTTTCGAGACTGGCTTATTGGTGGATCTCCTTTTTGGTGCCTTTCCCAACTGGTGATGTGCACAAGTAGGTAGGCACAGTCTTAATTCTTCCACAGGTCCCTTTTGAATGGTTGATGATATGGTCCCCAAGCACTCCGCATCACAGAGCACTTCTAGCGTCTGTGCTGACAATGTGAGAGATGGATCACATTCTGATCATATGTGAAAGAAACACATGAATGTCAAGAATCAACAGACCTGCTGGGTAGGGATTCTCCCTTTATCTCCTCCATTACCCCAGATACAGAAAAAAAAAAACCCACTAATGTGGCAACAATGGTCTTACACATTTTCCTGTAGCCCTTGACCGTTTGTGTCTTAATCAACTACGTAAAGATTATCAAAATAGGGCCCGGCGCAATAGCGTAGTGGTTAAGGTCCTCGCCTAGCACACGCCAGGATCCCATATGGTTGCTGGTTTTAATCCTGGCGGCCCTGCTTCCCATCCAGCTCCCAGTTTGTGGCCTGGGACAGCAGTGGAGAAGTCTTGGGACCCTGCACCCTCGTGGGAGACCCAGAAGAGCTCCTGGCTCCTGCCTTCGGATTGGCTTGGCTCCAGCCATTACGGTCACTTGTGGAGTGAACCATCGGATGAAAGATCTTTCTGTCTCTCCTCCTCTCTGTATATCTGCCTTTCAAAAAAAAAAAAAAAAATAGAATATTTTTTTTAAAAAGATTACAAAAATAAAACAATTACAACAAATTAAAAAAAACTGCCCCAATGTCTGAAAATAAATAGATAAGCAAATAGACTTGATGTACTAACTCTAAGCTACCTGCTGTGGTGAACGGCCTCAGAACAATCTATTAAAAAAATCACCTAGGGGCAGGCATGGAGCCTAGCAGTTAAGACACCTGTTAGGATGCCTGAGGCCTGTATCAGAGTACCTGGTTGTGCTCGACTCCTGCTTCCTGCGGATGCAGACCCTGGCAGGCAGTGGTGACACAGACATGGGAGACCTGGTGGAGCTCCCCGTCCCTGCCCTTGGTCTTTCCCAGTTCTGGCTTTTGCAGATGTCTGGGAACTGCCCCTCTTTGTCTTCCTGCCTTCAAAAACAAAAGCAAAAGAGAGCGAGAGCAAGAGAGAAGATCATGTCATTGAGGTATAGTGAAGATTGCCTCTGGTTCCATTCTCCTTTTTTTCCTTAGTACTTTCACAACTTGCATCTACTGGGGAAACTGTGAAAGTGAAAAGTAGCCTATTGCGGTATATTCCCATATTAACTAGTCTCCCCATAAGCCTACAGATGGCAGAGCAGAAAGCAGCGAGCCTGCCCTGTGGACCTACCCGATCTTGTGGAGAGGAAGGGAGCTGCCGGCGGGACTTCTCCAGAGTATTCCAGTGTGTCTTCATCTCCCAGTGAAAAGGCCAAGAGGAAGATCTAACACAAACTGGCACACCACCTTACCCCTCGGTTCCTCACAAGCACAGCAGTTTATAAGGCACACTCAACCAAGTCAAGAAAGAACTTGGACAGAAGAGTTAACCGCAACCGAAATCAAAGCACCTGGTAGAAACTGGATGAACAGGAAATTTTCGAAAAAATAATAGAAATAAGGGATCATTAGATTTCTGCTTAATTTTCTTCTAACTCAGGCAGGAAATGGGAGGGTATAAGTGCGGCACAGGGATATACGTAAGTAAACGCGGGTACGTACTATGTTCGAAGCTTACAGTAAGTTACGCTGTTACTAGTTGCTCCAGAGGTTTGACCCTGCAAGAAAATTTCCCTCAAAACCACAAAAGGGAAAAACAATCATCATGTTGAAGGAGAAAATAAGCAAATAAACATATCAGAAACTACACCCCTTACGTGCATGTAGGGGGCAGCATTTGGACTTTTCTGGAAACAGATTTCCCTACAGTTTTAAAATCTATTTCCTCTTAGATACAGAAATCATGCTGGACTTCCTTCCTGCCAAGTATTACTAACTTGGAAAAAATGTAATTTCAGTCTAAGAAGGTAGAAACCACGGGACTTGATTCACATCTGTATTTTGTAAAACAAAAACACTCGTGATCACAGTACACAGCAGTTATTTATTTAAATACTTGAAAAGGTCAATGATGGAAAAAATAGTTTATCGTGAGTTTATATTCATTAGATTTATCATTTAAAAAAGTGTCTTCTCTAGGTCATCACAGCCGGATATAACACTTGATAACACATGCAGCTACTGTAGTATACTATAACAGACACAGCCATCCTAGAATGATTTACACTTCGTGAGGAAATTCAACAGTAGTAAGGGCAATTGTTTATTTAAACTAAAAACTTTGATAACATATAAATTCCTTTTCTCATTTGATTGAAAGGGCTATAAAATTCCAATGTACTGACAAAGTAACATAATCACACAGATAGCGTCTTGTTAATTGCTTTTCCCTCACGTCCTTAAAAGGGGCCACACACTCGGCTATTCACTTCTCTAGATCCCACAATGGCTTCAAGGCTGGCCTGACACAAGTGACCGAAAGTCATGTGGGGAAGCTAACACTGACTTGCATGTTTTAAAAAATGGAAAGACAACAGCAAATTGTGCCCAATGTACTCAGAGAACCAAACGATCATTCTGATTCTGTGCAAAGGTGAAATAAATAAGTGATCCATGAGTAAATACAATCTCTGGGCTGACTTCAACCTAGCAGAATGAGCCAAGTGAGCACTAGCAAAACCTTGGACGAACTTCTAGAAACATCATTTCTAGAACTCAGATTGGGAGACCGTATCTTGCCTGAATATGTACATTATTTACAAAATATTCCCTTTTGGCCTCTGAAAAGCAGCCATTTTAGTTTGGCTGTTAAGCTATTTTCTTTCCATATGCTAGCCAATACTGCAGTTATAACTATCATTAAAATACTCTTATGCATGAATTACAAATATTAATAAAGTAACTCTGCATGTATAAATATCTCAATATTTCTAGCAGAATTTAAAGCATTCAGAATGTACATAAAAGTATTTGTTTTTGGTAGGGCCAATAATTTTTTTAATCATCGCTGTTTCAATAATGCTTTGTACATGGCAAAGCCCAAAACTGCAAATACAGTAGCACCAAAACTTGCTCGAAGCCAAAACGTGGAACTCTTGAGGTCAGCTTGTGTCACGTGCCTGTAGTCAGAAGATATAATCAAGATGTAAAACATGATTAGAATGAGCGCTTGTTACCAGTCATATAACAGTCTATATTTAGGGAAGTATTAGCACACTTGTCATGCTAATTGCATACAGCAATGCTTACCAGAAGTGTTTATCAATGTAGCCATGTATATATTACTAAGTCTTTATCTCAGCAAAATGACAATAAAGCAGACATTTATAAAGGCAAATGCATTTGCAACTAGCTACTGCTTTGGAGTAGACATTTAAAATTTTATACATTTTCTTCGCAAGGTAAATGAAAGACAATAAATTAACCCAATACATTTTAATGGTTCCACAGTCCTTCAAAATAAGAACTAGGGCTGAGATCTCACACTTCTGGGGGTCACATTCACGGGACTTATATAATGTGCAATCTCCTGTCCCCAGGAACAGAAAACTATCTTGTAAGCAGTTAAGCGACAAGTGACAATACTTTTTTTAAGAGTAATAATTAAAGCCAACTTTGGAAACACTGAATCCCATCAGAATTTATCAAAACAGGAAAAACAAAATCCCACAGGGATAGGAAGATCTGTCAGTCTGTATTAATTTAGTTAATGATAATTAAAGAGGAAAAACAAACACCAAAGCCCTTGTGTTAGTGAGACAGGCAGTGAAAATGATACCAACGAAAGGACACAAAGTAACACAATGGAATGAAAAGGAATGACATAAAAAAAATCAGAGTATGCATGACATGAATAGGGACAGCCTGGACCACAAACTGAGTTTGTGAGCATGCTCAGTTAATAACAGTGCTAAGCACCCTTGAGTCTCAAGTATGACAGCTTACCGCGAAGAGGATAAAGCCTTCAAGAAAAGGTTGCAACATTTTATTCAAGTGCCACTGAAGTCTTAGTTAAGTAAACAGAACTGACGCTGATGTAGATAACAGAATTAAGAGCTCAGAGAGACTGTCTAACAACTAAGTTAAACAAACAGCTTTAAAGAAAAGTTACACACTATTAAAAGACCAAGACACTGACATATGCAAAAGAGTTAAGAGCCAAGAATTCATACCGTATAAAACTGCTTTGCTTAGGAATAGTCACAGAAGATCATATTAGTAATTGCAAAATGTAATCTGTACGTGTCCAGAATAAAAAATCAGAAATCAAGCCAGAGTGCTCCATGCTTAGTGCCATGGCAAAGCTACACACAGCCCTTGCCTTGCTCGACCTCATCAGTTCCTAAACACACACTTGTCACTCTTCACATAATCATATTTTGCAAAGCAAGGTGATAATGTACGCCATTCCACCTTGCACGTTAGTTCTAACAACATGCGATGTTTTGTTTGAACAAGAACACAGAAAGGTTAGGGAAGAAAATGTTTCAGTTTCAGCTTTCTCTAACTGCAAAAACTTGAACAAGGCGAGCTCATTGGTGTGAGAAATGTTACCTGGCTTCAAGAAAAACTGGACCATGAGATGACTCCATGAAGATGGAATCTTCTATAGAGCTGACGGCGTGCACCTGGTGAGTAACACTGCCTTCGTCGTCTGCTAACAGCATGGCACCCCACTCAGCTACCCGGGCTCTTAACCTTTTACACACATGCACAGTTTGCAGTTCACAGCAGAACTCACATAAAGGAACTCAAAATAACATCTTTCATTTAAACATCCTACATGTAAACTCAGTTGCCACCCTATAAACATCTCACGTTTTCCATATTTAAAATTAATGTATTCTATAGCAAATTGCCAAAGTTAAAAAAATCTATATGGATTTTTTTTTTTTTAACAATCACGTATCAGACAAGGAAATCTAAAGCTGTTATACACATTCCATATCCCCTCTGTATCCCTCTAAAGCTGGCGGGGGGGGGGGAGTATATTTCACACTCAGAGTCTAAGAGACAACTGCTATCCGTTTCTGCAACACATGGCGGCTGCCAAGTGTGCATTTGAAATGAAATTAATAACTGCTGGTCATGGAATTTACAAGTCCTTATAACATCAGAATAAAAAAATACAAACATAGACCTGTGGAGAACTTAGTCCAACATTCTAAGCATGGGCCTACAAATGAGAATAACATTACAACCCCAAGTCACTAGAGATCTACAGATTTTAAAGCGAGAGTCTAAACGTGCATTATGCCTCGGGCTTCAGCTCTTGCGACACTGGGGTATCATGCAGCCTCTCTGATGAAGAGTGGTTCTTCTGTTTTTCAA